CCTGCAGATTCTGAGGTCAGACATCATGTTTTAAGTGAATGTTGCTTTTTTCACACCATTTTACGAATCAGGTTCAGAGGTTCAGTTGCAGACAAAAGACTCGGCAGACAGATTGTCACAGAACAATCGTATTTATTTACAACAATCAGAATTAAACCAAAAACACAAGACAGGCAGATTTGAGGCAGACTGAACTCAAGGGAGTCCTCTATTGTGTTGCACAGCGATTAAAAGCAGGCTTACTGGCAGGGTGAGAGGAAATGGGAGGCGTGGTGGCTTGAGCTTCCAGAGGAGACTCCGGGCAGGAGGAACCGATATGGAGCTGAGTGGTAGAATCTGTGGAGGAGAAACCAGACTGTGGAGACAGAGGAATCGGCAAAGCAGGATCGATGTTTCCCAATGTCGTAATGTGATGGAACTGGAACAGAGCAGAGCACAGATTAGGATCAGTGCAGAACAAAAGGAAACAGGTAAGTGCTGAGCCAGTGCAACTAGCTTAAAGTGAGCTTACGATTTGGTGTCAGTTAGTGGCTTGCTGGCGTCTTTTATGGAGCAGAGATGAAACTGACTGAGGCCCCGTTTACACGTAGCAAAAACGGTGATATCTCGATGTGTTTGGGCCTTTGGTTTACACGTAAACGAAGCTATAAGTCACCAAAAACAATCCAAACTCCGGCCAAAGTGGAGATTTGGAAAAACTCTGTCTTTACGGTTGCATGTGGACAGGAGGAGACGGAGTTTGATGTCAGAGTGTGCAACAAAAGCGTCATCAGCATCATATGTGTGCGACCATGTTTACAGTTTGGCTGCTGTCATAGAAAGTCAATATTTTCAAGTATTTTACTTGTTGTCTATTCTAACACCACATGTAGGAGTAGCTCCACTTCTCTATCGATCCAAACAAACGACCCTCGCTCCATTATCGTTGAAGTAACAGGATGTGATTCGTGCCATTTGTTGTTGTTTTTTCCGGGATTCTGATTGGCTGGCATGGCTTTATGTTTCTTGTTACACTGCCCCCTATAGGTTTGGCAGCTTATAACAGCTCTTAATGACGTGTTTATGCAGGTTTGTGTAAATGAAGATTTTTTTTTTAAAACGATCTGGTGTGAACGTTGTTATTTTTGAAAACATAGATCCGTTTTTGTAAATACCAGCTACTTGTAAACATGGCCTGAAAGAGCCACTTCCCGCCGCAGCTGAGGAGAAAGGTGATTACTGATCAGTTCCACCTGCCCACACCTGGCTCACACGCACCTGAGAGCAGGAGAGAAGAGAGAGAGAAAGAGGAGGGGGAGAGTATTGCCACTCGACGGAGCCCAAGGTGGAGGCCCTGACACACCAGTTTTAATGACTGGTGTAAATCATCCACATGTGAAGAGTTTTTCTCTTTAAATGTAGTCGGGAGTCATAAAGTCAAGACCCAGTCAAGAGTCAACGCTCCAAGTGTCATTAAAGTAGTTTGTGCTGAGCTGATATCAGTCTGTCAGTCAAACACTCTGCTCACCTGTCAGCACCTGTTGTGTGTCACATCACTGCAACACTTCAGCTGTAACCTGACGAGTGGCACAAACTCTCTCCTTCATCCTTCATAGCATTTGGAGCTCTGGGATCACTGAAACCCAGACAGTGGGTTTATCTGCTGACCAACCTTTGATGTGGTTTTCACCTTTATGTCCTGGAAGCAAATGTAGTTGTCCTCTGTGGTACAGCAGCTTCTCCATTTATAACATAAATGAGCAGATCTCATTCATGAAGCTGCACATTTGGAAAGAACATGTGAAGAAGATTTAACGTTGTCTTCATGCATATACGTACGACTCCATGGTACCAACGTTCAACTGTATCATCAGTTCAGTGTCAGCAGCACGTCTGGATGAGCTGATCTCTGCAGCTCTCCGTTAGGCTGAAGGACAAACATTTCACAAGTCAACAGTTGTGGACATGAAGCGTTACAGAGCAGTTTATCACCTGAGATTAACTAACTTAATCATCCTGCAGTTCGGTGTCAACAATGCTTTGGGCTCCAAACCATGACGATTTAAAGGATGCAGCTGTTGTGCAGCAGCTGGATGGAGGCAGCAGGTGTGTTCCAGCTGGTTGTAGATCAGGATGGATGTATAAATGAGCCGCATCATTGTTTAAGCCGCAGTGTTCAAAGCGTGCGAAAAAAGTAGCCGCTTATAGTCTGGAATTTACATTCATATAAATGTTTTAGACGTTTCCCTCAAGATTCATTTGGACATGTTTGCTATCTTTGAACATTCAAGGATCTTTAGTAGAATCTGACATAAATGTGTTGCTCAGCATGAGTCTCTCTGGATGGAGCCACTGGTGGAGCTGAAGTGGCTCCGTCTTTCTTGAAGCAGCAGCATGTTGTTATTCATATTAATGAGAGCTCTTCTTCTCTGCTTCTGTTAGACTGTTTGAAGCTGCATCCTGTTGGCTTCAGCTGTTTGGAGTTTACATTTTCTCAACTTGTACATTCTGAAGCTTCTTCAGCTCTGAACACACGATGAAACTCTGAATGATTTCAAGCAGACACTTTGTCTCTTCAGCTCACATCTTTTATTCTTTATTCAGATTGGAGGGCTGCAGTTTGTCAGAGGTCAGCTGTGATTTTCTGGTCTCAGCTCTGAAGTCCAACCCCTCCCATCTGAAACATCTGAACCTGAGTAACAACGACCTGCAGGATTCAGGAGTGAAGCATCTGTGTGGTTTTGTGGAGAGTCCAGACTGCAGCCTGCAGACTCTGAGGTCAGGTCACTGTCTGTCTGTCACTGTTGGAGATCTGATATGTTTAATGACAACTGAAGCTCATTTATGTTTAAACAGAACTTAATCCATGAAGCTGTAAATCTGTTGAGGATCAGATTCATTGACTCAAATGCAGACATAAGACTTTTCAACCAAACGTTTCAAAACAAAGTTATTTATTGCAAAAAGCAAACTATTTACAGAACCGGAAGCAAGGTCGAAGGTAAACCAAAGAGTCCTGTAGCGACTACCACCAGTGGGGCAGAATAAATACTTACACTAAGTATGCCAAAACTCTAAATAAACTATGATAAACAACTAGAGGATAATGAAAGTCACTCAAGGCTGGTAACACCAGGTTGGGCAACAGAACAATAATGGGAATATAGAAATTCGCATAATATCAAAGTCTACAAACATGAGAGGCTATTGGCTATGCTAGCGGGGTTCAGTGTGAGGCTGGGGCTTGCAGACAGCAGGCTGGAGGTTGTGCAGAGGGAGAGGGAGACGGCGTGGTGAGTGGCGATGGTAGGTGTGGAGGAGATGAACCAAAAGAACCAGTGCAGGTGGGTATTTTCTGGAGGAACCAGGAATGGACGGATGAACAGGTCCTGTTGATGC